ACAATAATTTACAAAATAATTTTTTTATTCTAGGGGCTAATTAAATGGCATTTATTCGTCGGCATATCCTGTCATTTGATTCGAAGCAAAGTTTAAAAATACTGCATTTTAAGGAAAATGATATACTTATAATATATAATATATTTCCAGAATATTACATTTAATTCGTTTTATCTTTTTAGAATTAAATGTCAAAAAAACCAAAAACAACTCTTGTCGGATGCATAAAATAGAAACTTCATAGACTGTAAGCACATTCTATGATACTTTTCCCATCATAACTTCACTCCCTGCCTTCTCTGAACCCCAAAATACCAATAATATACCAATAATAGCATGATTCTCCCCCTCCAAATCTGAAACACGGCCCAAAAAAACATTTGCACACACGACCCAAGCTTGTTAAACACTGAATCTACTTTTGTGTCTCACAAGTGATAAAGCTTTAAAGCAGCGGGGGGTGTGCGGGGAAATGGAGGTAACATCTATTATTGCTTTTTTTCCTTTCCTTTTCTTTTTCTCCCCCGTTTGTAAGCCTGTGAGGCAAGCCAATTATTGCACAATCTCACTTTTTTATTGTTCCCAGCTGCTGAAATGATTTCTAAATGTCAGTAAGATGCAACATTTCCTGTGGAGTTACTGACAGTAATCACTTCCCCTCCCAGCGTTGCAGTCTTTAATATGAATACACTACAGAGCAGCCCGCCCTCTACACTTTACACAAGGCCTTCTCCATTTTCTTTATTGGATTCCTCTCTCTCTAAACCCAATCACGCTAAACACACACACTGCATCATTTTCTCATTGAGTGACTGCACCTCCTGGCACATTCTGTAATAATAAAGCTTCCTGTCTAGATCTGTTTCTACATTACAGTTGTGTTCGGCGAGACCCCGTATCATGGCGGGGGGCTCTTAGGATTGATTACAGCCTTTTGCTGATGGACGCCTACCCTTTGCAATTCCTTTCTTTAGTTGTCATCAAAAAAGTTGGACATAAAAGCACAGTTATCGAGCATTCATGAAGTTGTGAGTTAATTGGTGAAAAGGAAGCCCTATGATGGATGCAAACGCCATTGTGCATGTAATACAGTGGTTGGTTGTCTGGGAATGTGCCCAGCGGATGGAAGAGGGAAAAGGAGGAAGAATTATTTTAGTGAGACACCGGGGCCTAGGTAACAAGACCAAGTGAGAGACAGACAAAGAAAGAGAGGTTATAGTGCTCCTTTATAAAGCTAAAACTTTATTAAGACTTAAGTATATCAATTGCTCACTCTCAATGTTTTTTTCCCCCTAAAACATATAAAAGTGCAATTCATACATACGATGAGTGATTGCCTAATTAAACTTATTCTATGATAAGCATGTATTTAATTTCTGAATTAAAATGAATTTGATATACAACTAAATTTAAGAACTTTTTATGTGTTTCACACTACATTTTTAATATGTTATCTTTTCTGCATCATGGACACTAATCATTGTCACAATTGTCAATGATTGATCCTCTTATCATTCCTAACAACTCACCATTTTACGTAGAACACAATCTTGGCCAATCTTTTTAATTTCATGAAGTGAATATTTTTTCTTATGCTTCAAAGAGGATGAAAAAGCACCATCAAATTTACTTAAAATTGAAGTTATCTTATGTGTTCAAAATAATAAATAAAGTCAAACATGTGGGGTAAATAAACGATAATAGAATTTTTTTGGCATATCCCTTTAAATGCCATGTTAATTCCTTGGGGGAAAAAAAATTTGGAAGCTTTTCCATACGGTAAAGTACGTCATTAAATAACACGGAGATAAAATGTATTCATCAACGCAGACATATTGACAAATATCCAAGCGTCAGACAAATAGAGGATGTTTATCCGGGATAAGAAACAAGACGTCTTACAAGAGACGCAGCTGTCACTTACCGGGGAACCAAACACATGCGCACACACATAAACAGACAAACAGGCGCGTAACCTTAGCAAGAGGTTGAGGATGTCTAAGGCTGGGTATGCAAACAAACATTCCTGCGATTTTCTGCCTTTGTGCTGGTACCTTGTTAGTAAGGGTGATCATAAAGAGCTTGCAGGGCTGTTTGATCTAGCGAACACATAATACTCTTGCCATTTTCTCTCCCCATTTCACACCCACATGTGACATAAAGAGAATTATTCATTGTTTTCCACCGAGCAACAAAGGTCTGGCAGCTCAAAGAGCATCTGCCTTCAACGTAGTTCGTTTTCGGCTCGTCTGGATCCACAGCCATTGATCGTTTAGGGCTGAAGTGAGTCATTTTTCCTCTGTTAAAATGTGTTTTACGATCCCATATTTAATGTGTAAATATAAGCAAGCTATTCGTAAGGTTCGGTTTCCTTAAAAAATGCATAAACACTGCAGCTCTGTGCTACGGCTAAAACAAAACAAAATACTTTTGTTTGACTAGCCCAACAACAACTTTCATTCAAACAAATGACGTAAGTTTGTGGGCGGGGCTATTTGTTTGGCCAACCAATGGTACAAGACAGAGGATTGTTTAGGAAACCTGTTCGAAAACCGTTTTTGTGTTAAAAGTTCCATTTAGTGATGCAACTGGCACATTAAATACACACTTCAACTTTAAGAAAAAGTCGAATAATTTTTTCGTTTTACATTTCAGGGCGTTTTAACCACAATAAACACAGCAGTCAATACATGCGAGTCACTTTTTTTACAGTCTCTTAAAATACTAGGTGGTTCTGTAATTTTCATTTTAGAATGGAAAGTCTGTTTTGTAAAATATTTTTCCTGAAACTGTTCCCGCTTCACCACTTCCTTGTTATTTTTGAGAGGTTTTCAGCTGGATGCCTGAGGATCACTGTCTTTGTGTTTGTTTCCGCTTGTTCACATTCTGTTTGTTGAACATCATGACTTGTTAATCGCTTGTGTCAGGGTACAAGACGATGACATAAATAATTACCGCAAATACATCTTAATGTCTAACAAGGGACATTTCCGGTATGAAACACCCCCCAAAAAGTCCCCCATCTTGTCTGAGTCACCTTCAGACTAACTCATAAAAAAAGATGTCAAAATATCAGGGGATTTCTCATGACAATGATTTGAAGCAGAATACTTAAAATCTTGTCTATCCATTCAGGCATTTAGGGAGCACTCTCTGTACCCTGAATATCAAATGTAAGCCAAAAGACAGGCGGTGACTTGTGCCAAGCCTCATCACTAAAACTCACACAATTCATTAGAACACACCTTGAGTTCTGTCTAGACGAGTGTACCCGCTCTGACTGTGAGTGTCTGGCTTTGACTTGGATGCTGGATGTCTCTGGTCGTTCTTTGCAAGCAGGGTGAGTGCACTGGCCGTAACCCTTCACACAGGCACACTGCGCTCTGCTCACTGCCAGACTCACACCAGCAATCCCATTAGCCAGAGACAGATGATAGTGTTCAAATCAACAATGAGGCAGAATAGCTCTGTTCTCACCATCACTGTGTGATGTTATTGCTTTTATTTGAAGAATGATGGTTATTTGGCTGTCTAGGTTTCCAATTTTTTATTACGTACTCCAACATTCCCCATTGAGTTGCCCTTAAAGGCATCATCATGCATCAACTCCACGGCGTAGCTACGCTGTCACTTGTGGCCGTTTTAAGGTTCTGCGTCAGGTTGCTTTGCATCGTGGTGCATTTCACCGCCAGAACACTAGGGGGTGTGTGGTTTGCGAATCTCTTTGCTAGTTTGTTTTGGTTCCGTGCGCCGGTTCCGCTTTTTCATTTCCGACAATGGCGAGCGAAATAGAGAGAATGTTGTTGCAGCTGGAGCTAATCGACGTTGAACAACAAGACGACGCAAACTTTGTCCACATAGAACCAACACGGACGTCCAGGGCCCGTTCCACCCGAGCTGCCATAGCTGTTCGGAATGACTTGAAGGCTTTTTTTCAGTCTGCACATGGAACTGTGCTATGGCAGGATAATGATAGTGTCCCGTGGCAGACTTGGTTAGTTAATGTATTATCAATGATGTAACCATGAACATTGTATTGTAAATAAACAACAAACTGTTTTTCAAAACAAACGTTGATTTATTGATTAATTGAAGTGTATTATAATTATCAGTACGAGGGTGTAAATGTTAAAAATGGCGCTACAGCGGGAGGGAGAAACCATAAAAGCTACACTCCTGAAATTATGTATAATCTGACCAATCACAGCCCTTGCTGTCTGCGTCGCCTCGACGCGTAGTTACACATTTTTGGAGGTTCACGTCGAGCTACGGCAGAGGGGTCGACGAGGGGTTCGCGTCAACGCTGAGGGGTCTGCGGAGGTACGCTGTCGATTCCACGCAGAAGCATAAAACAGGCTCAACCGATGCCAAATAAGTCCAGAAACGTGTTCCTTTGGACTTACATTACATTTGTATTGTTTAGCATTATAACTAATTTTACTAAAATTGTCTTAATGACAAGAATAAGAAATAATAATAATACATTTACTTTCAAGATGTTTTGTCATTATCATTGTTGCTGTTGTTATAATTATCAACTTCTGGAAATGTAATTTATTAATAATAATAATAATAATAATAATTCATATTATTATTATTATTATTACTACTACTAATAGTAATAATATCAACAAAAACCAACTAATAAATCGTTTACTATTTTATAATTCATAAACAATTATTATTTAATTATTTACTACAACTAACTACTACTAATACTACTAATTATTATTATTATAGGAATTTCTTGAATTTAAATTTGCATAGAGTATAATAAACAAGAAAACAGTGTGAAGAGCAATTAATTATTGAAAACTGACCAATGAAAATAAAACAAAAAGACTACATCACGGGAACAAAATGAGACAGAAGGAAACAAAAACAACAAAGCAAAAGCAGAGTGCTGAGAAAACAGGAAACACACACACAAGAATATCTGAGTAAATCAACAGCAGAAGGAGAGAATCATTAAACTGACATGTGAGAGTAGCACAGGGAAAAGAGACTGAAGAGTTTGACGGAAGAGACTTCACAGAGCCTGTGAGAACGGACAGGGGAATAGGAGTGGAGTAGCTCAGATGAGTATTAGGGATAAAGGATGAGGGTCATATACTGTACGCGCCGGTATGAAACAGGTAAGCAGTGCAGGTGACGGGAATGGGAACGATGTGAGCAGATCTTTTAGTGCGAGTGAGGAGGCGGGCAACTTTAGATTGGCAAAGTTCGCCTGGAGAAGAAATGTCTTGTGATTGCACTTCTCCTTTTTTTTTTGGTCCTTTGCCAGGCTGTGTTTCTAGCCAATACAGAAAAAAAAACAGGAGAGTTGTCTAAACCTGGTAGACAGCACAGAATGTGTGAATTGACAGGTATTCCAATGGCTGCCAAAATCAGCTGTCTGAATCTTCCGCCATCACAAGATCTGCCTTAAATAATTCAGTGCGCGTATATTCACAGTCTCTCTCTCCCTCAAGGCTGAGAAGCAGAGATAAGTGTATAAACTCGGGAAAAGCTGAAAAGTCAATTACTTTGACAAAACTTTCTATTTCAAGGAGAGCGGTGAAACCAAAACCGATCAGGAAATTTGTGTTATCACAGCTATGTGAATTAATACCAATCCTTTCAGTTGTAAAACTTGGACTGAAATTTACTAAACAAGTTGTAACCATTTTAAAATAATATTACAAATTTAATGCCAATTTTAAGACCACTGGTTCTTAAAAATGTGGTGTATAATATACAAATTAGGTTTATAATGTAAAAACAAACAAAAAGGTTTACGTGGCTTTGTGGAATTAATTTACTCTAAACTTAAAATGTCAAGTTGGCATTATTGTAAGAAGTGCTTTTTTAGATTAAAATTAGATAAAAATTAAAAAAAAAGCATTCTATGCAAATTTTATTTTAGGCAATTTTTATTTATTATTATCTTCATCTAATGTTTTATAAGTAAATATATTTAAAATCAACAAAAACAGTGTAATTAAAACTGTCAAAAGGTCCAAAAAAGCAACCATATTAATTATTCATATGCCGGGTATATGCTGGAAAGAGGGTGTATACAAACACAAACACCATTACTTCCATTTAAAATGACTTTTTCACCCTTAAAATAGCATAAATAAGCATATTAAGTCCTGATCATGGACCTGGTAAAACAAGGCAAGAAAAAAAAATGATATGGTAAACTGTGTGAGATCTGCTTAACTATTCTTGGATAGACTGTTGATGTGTAGCGTTCACACAGCCCACCTGCCTGTTTTCTCTCAGGACTCGCACTGGAAACAGATGAGAGCGCTCTCAGGCAAAAGCCAATAGATGAAAGAAACTCCACCATTGGATTAGCAGAATCCGTTCTGCATGCCTTGATGAGACTTTGGAATGTTCCACCTCCAAGTTTGCAATCTTTAAGGTCTTTCAGAGACTGTGACCAAAAATAGGCTCGTGTTGTATGTGACCATGTGGTGTTTGTATTTGGATGAAATCTGTTAAAGGGACACCCAGCTCAGTGTGCATTGGCTTTGAAATATGGAGCGACAGTTTCGGGAAGCGTTCCACACAATGATAAATATGCTAACAAAATGCTTCAAACACAACAGGACAGACTGACGATTTACACTGAAACATGATGGGAGCTTTTTCAGCTCCATGGCAATTTTACACTCATGGTCTGTTTTTTAAGAGGCCCGACGACCCTCAAAAACATATTTCACATGGAAGAACCAGGTTCATACCTTTACAAACCTTCAACATGAAAAATGTTGCATTGCTTTCTAGATAAACATTCCTGTGAATTGTTTAATTCAATTTTAATTTTAATTTCCTACAATGTGCTGATGTCGACCGGCCATTAATCAGAGTTTTCTTTACTCCAAACAAACAATCGGCAACCAGAAGGTTGTTTTTGGCCGATCTCTAGGGACACACTGAAGATGGATGCAAAGAGAAAATACAAGCTCATTGTTCGCGATGATCAAAATATTGTAAGAAAAATTTAAATATTGAATTAAGGGTGGGGAGTTTATATGAATCTTATGAAGGTAACTGATTGTCTGTCTTCAATACGTTTCAATGCATTTTCTTTTCCTCTTACCTCCATAATGCCTATTAAAGTAGTAGTGTTTAAGCACAGATCTACTTTGTGTGGAGGATTAAACAAGGAAACGCTATATCGCTTCTGTTTCATGCGCCATTAGTGTCAGAGAGAGAATTTGCATTTTTATCCCGTCCGTCTGCCGTTTTGTTTTGTGCAGGTATGTTTTATGTAGCATAATTTCAGAAAACTAAAGTCAGACCATTCTGTTTTTGCTTTAAACCTTGAATTCTAATTAAAATGTTTTAAAAAAAGTCATACTACATGCGAGTAATCTTTGTTTGGATCATGATTAAAATGCAGTGGTTGCCTATAATTTAAAATGGCTACAGATATGTTTTTGCTTAAGGCCAGTTTGTGCTGTAATAATGCAAATAAACTTTTATTTTGCTTAAGGCGAGACACAGCAGGCAAAAACATTGATTTTTCATGCAATGATCAGTTTTGAGATTTTGGGCTAGAATACTCCTTTAATATGTGTTCTTTCAATCTGCTATAAAGAAAATGTTGAAGATATACATTAATATGTTTATTTTTATACATTTAGTTTACTTGCGGCAGATCCAAATATCTCAGATTATGTAGCACCTATGAACACCAAACTGTCCAGTTATATACTTAGCAGTATTCTGAAGATATTTTTTCAGAGCGATTGGTTAATAAATCATTCCTGGGCTGATTTATGTGAAATTTTAATAAAAAAAAAAATGTCGAAATTATACATATATCCTGAAATCCCTCAGAACTTTTTTTTTCATCTTGTTTGTAAACAAAATGAAAAAATAATTTTGCACCTGGCTTTATCATATGCAAAATTGTGCATATTTAATTAGATAATGCCTATTTTGCATAATTAAACATACAAATTTCAAAAACTTCTAAGACATTTTTTAATATACTTGTGTAAGTAATCAACTGAGGAAGAAAGATTCATGGTGATATCTATTATTTAAAAATGTTACCCTATTCACCTGTAGTGTCTCGCCTTAACCAAACATTTCAGTATCGGAATTGGCCAATTTATAAATTCAAATCAAAAACAAAATAAAAATATTTTTATCTGGGACCTAAACTAGTAAATCTTAACAGAATCACAGGGATAAAAAAAATTATAATAAAAAAAGTTAGCACAGTTTCTGTGAATATGACAAATGAAGGGCATGGCCTAAGTTCTCAGGTTTCCATCAGGGTACATCATCTTTGCTGACTTCCCATTTTCTATACACCAAAGACAGAGGTAGAGAGTTATTTCAACTCGGTGAGATACACCACCTGCACCCTCAGAAAAAAAAGCATTTTCACAACAGCTAACACTATCTTTAGACATCTAGATAGTTTGCAGAGTGTCTGCAGAAACTTTGCACTGACCTACAATCAGTTTGGCAAATTTTCCAATAATAGAAGGAGCAAAAAAAAAAAAAAAAAGGAAGAAAATATGGATTTTACAGACAGAAGCTAGTTTACCCAGTCCAACTTGAACTAGAAGAGCCATCACTATGTTGCATGTATGTTAAGAGACCCACAGTGAGCTAGAAGTTAACTGGCATTATGGGGTTGGACCGTAAACAGCGGGCCCGTGGGAAGCTGTAAACAAAGCAAGAGCTTGATTATCAGAGCCGATTAAGATGCAGACACAGGACTATGCTAATTTTACCCTATATCCTACAGAAGTAAAACAACAAGAGCATGCTTCATTAAAAAAGGCCATGCATTATTCAGATAACACGGCCAGAGAAACGACTTCAGGCCAATTAAAGGACTGTGCTGGAATTCTCCATAGCCTGCACTTTCCTTTCAAACACATGCACATACAGAGAAACAGATACGCCATTTAATTTTAAAAAGCCAGATCTCGTATTATCATTATAAATGACCAATACTGCTAAAAGGTCTCGGGCAGGGCAAGGAGACACCGGCAAAATAAATGAAAATGGCGTGGACTGGACTGGTGGGAAGGAGAAAAAGAGCATGTATCAGCTATTAGAATGCAAACTGTGCAGGTTTCCCTAGGGTAAAATGGTTGACCTATTTCTCTAATGCCAAGGTTCAGTGCTGCTCTTAAACACACACACACACACGCACACACACAGTCAAAAGAAAGCTTAAAGGTATAGTGTGTGAATTTGCAAATGTTAGAATTCTTTTGCATATCCTAAATTGTTATTTAGAGATAACCAAAACCCTGTTTAATCTGTCAAAAGTCTGGTAGATTCAAGTATCTCTACCAGTGCATACTATTAAATGAGGCCATGGAAGCTTCAAGGCGTCATAAGTACCAACATTGTTAAATGGTACTTGTAAAAAGAATTAACTGTGCTGTTAAACATTTTATTGTATGTCAAAATTTTAAGAACATCCAGGTCAAATGTCAAAATAGCAAATGTGGGATGCCTAAAAATATATTCACGTATTGCTCCCTACAAACCTGCATACATATAACGAACTTCATCAACGCATAAGTTCTTCATTGAATCTACACTGTAAATACACAATTTCGGACACCGATAGTCATTATTTTTACAGTGGCCAAGAAATTCTACACTTCACCTTTAACCATTGTATTACAGTAAAAATCTGGGTATGATTTTAATGTTTGGAGTCAATTTGGAGTTATTAAGATTCAATACAATTCCAAACGAAAAAAAAAGCAATGCCAAGATCATGGATTTAATTCCCAGCATTCTGAAAATGCGTGACATAAACAAATAAAAATGTATGCCTTAAAGCAGTGTAAGCTCCTTTGGATAAAACTCTCTCCTAAATGCAGGAACGTCATTGTAAATACCCTCTGAGGGTATACATCAAAAAATGTATTTTGTGTCTTTGCAGCAGCTCCTTAAACAATATAATAGCATAATTGTAATATGAATGGTGTCCGCATATTCCACAACACAATCAGTGTCAATATTTCTGCAGGTATGATCATCACCTTAAATGAGGAAAAACATCATAGGGTAACCAGTATTTAGAACTCAAATATCTAAATGGGTCAAATTGACCCGCAACAAAGTATAAAGCTACAATCAATTTCCTTTACATTAAAAGTTAAGGTCACACGTTTTGGTAATATAGCCAATGTTCTGTGCTTTTCTAGCTGAAACATAAATATGTGTGTGTAGTAGGCTATCTGTCAAAAGGAAAGTAAACATTTTTTTATGTTTTTGAAAGAAGTCTCTTCTGCTTACCAAGGCTGCATTTATTAAATCAAATTCAGTAAAAAACACTAATTTATGAAATATTATTACAAATAAACTATTTTCTATTTGAATACATTTGAATCTATTACTGATTTGCATCTATTAAATCATGTTGTGTAACATTATAATGTTTTCACCGTCATGTTTGACCAATTTAATACACCCTTGATGAATAAAAGTATTAATTTATCTTTTTTAACACAATGTTTAAATGGAATCATTGTTTCCACAAAAACGTTACAGCAAAATTCAGCTTTGTCATTACAGAAATAAATTACATTTGAAATATATCAAAATAGAAAACAATTATTTTAAATTGTAATAATATTCCACAAAAATTACTGTTTTTTATATTAAAAAAATGGTGAGCATTAAAGACTTCTTAACATGAACATTTTTGCATTTGACAGGTATAGTATGCCATTTAAAATGATGTCTTTCTGTGTGTGTGTTTTTCAGGTTAAACATTAGCCAGTTATTAGCTAGTTGATTGCTTGGCCTTGGTGAATGTGACCCTAGCTGTCTCTTGAAGTGAATCATAATGCCTCTATCAGCATTCACTCTCATTCTCGTGTCTCTTTCTTTTTAACAACCGCCCTTCATTTAAAGTCACTCTTAATATAGCCTCCGGAAAGTGTTGCCCTACCTCAGTTCAAGGACAAAGCCTCACAAACCTTACTTTAAAACGCTTAACACATAAACACACATGAACAGATGTGAAAGCTAACACAAATGTACTAATGTTTTTCACAGGTACACTCACTATGAAGATCGATATCACCTTCAAATGCTGATGAACAAATCAGCTTCTAGCCTTGGTGCTAATTGAGATGATGCTAATCTTATTAATACCGAATAAAAAAACTGGGGAAAGGTCACAGGAACATCATGTTTACAGCATGATTCTACTGTTCTGTTATGTGTTGGGGAGCAGCTGGCAGGATGAGGGGTGCAACTCGCACCAACAGTAGGAAGTGATGAGGGCTGCTGACAGGAAGCCTGGAGTTCAGGCCCGTGCTAAGCTAACACCAGTCCACTGGCGATGCAGTCACATGCCCTGTGGAGACTGCGGTTGTCAAAAAGTGGTCTGGAGGCCCAGCTGGCGGGGTGTGATGAGGTAACAGCGGGGGAAGTGCAGGGCAACATGTGGCATGTGGCAACCGCACTCAGCCCTCGACTGTTAGTGACGAGCGGCAACTCATCCTGTCACAAGATTTACCACAACTTTGTGAGATCCACAGACAATGAGTTCTGTTTCAGCGCATGGAACCTTGGGTAGTCTGGAACAAGATTAGTATTCTATTAAAGTTAAAAGAATTCACTCAAACAACAGTGGCATATTGCTGACTAGTCTACCACGAACATTAATTTTCTTTAAAAATACAGAAATCTGGGTTACAGTCATGTTTTTGTAGTTATCAACAAATTGTAGTTTTCAAACATATTTCAGCTTGTTAACCCGGAATAACAATACAACATTAAAGGGGTGATGAACTGAGAAATCAAATTTTCCTTGAGCTTTTGACATCTAAGAGGTCATCGTATTATAAGAATATCCTGTAAGTTTCAGAACTGAAAACGTCCTTGTTAGCCCAATAAAAGCTTTTATTGACATCAGGCTCAGCAAACGACTCGTTTTTCAAATTGGGGAACTATGAAGTCAAAGAGGATAAAACACCACCCCCGCAGAAGAAGATCAACGCCTACTTCAACACGGCAGGTTTAGCCCCGCCCACCGATTCGCGCATTAAACCCATAGCTAAATAACATAGGCCTACCTGCCTCGTGATGACAAACCGGATCGAGAGTGAAACTCATTATAAAACTGTTATCCACTCACAGCAGTGGGTGTTTACTTCCAAGTCTTCAATGCGAGACGCCCATAAAACCGAGCGTTTTTGAGCTGGGCTCAAATCTAGGGTAGAAAATAACCTATTACTTTAATTAATTATACTTAAACCCAGTTCCTGACCCCTTTAAACAGTTTTCAGTCCATTTACTTCCGTGATGTGATGCATTTTTGAAGTGAAACAAGATGCAGTAT